AAAAAGATTTTTTAGGTATTTTTGGTTGTTTAGGACCTTTCCTTATATGACACAATGATCCACTCAAAACAATACCTACTTACATCAGAATAGCATTTAAGGTATTTTTATAGTTTATAACATATATTTAACAAAACCTATATATTAAATTCAAAATACCACATCGCAGTCGTGAATAAAATTTAGGAATTAGATCCTAGTTATAGTTACTCCTTTAAAAGTTATCACACCAGGTCAAGAAAAATGGCATTATTTTAGGATTCTACTTCCGTAATTCCAATAATTAACTATCTGTAAATTAACCCATTTCCTTAACCTTTTTCTTAAAGCATTAAAAAATAATAATCACTACTTAATCAATCTTGAGTAGCAAAAAGATTTTAGATAACAGTTTCAATTTTTCTGATAACATCAAGTCTAATTACAGTAATCTGGGTGATTAAATACTTTTCAACCTTTCAACCTTCAATCAAGAATTATTTGAAGAGATGAATATTTGGGTGGGACTACAGACTAATTAGTGTTATGTAAGAGAGAAGTTAACCAAGCTATGACCATAATCTATTTTTAAAATAGAAATGTTTTAATCTTTCTTGAAAATAGTTACAAAACAGATATCTATTTAGGTAATATGAACTAATATTTAAACGAATTACCTTAGTAACTGATACGACCAAAACACAAACAGGATTTTAAGTCCTTTCCAAGTCTAGCAGCTAAAGTTACTATTTTTAAATAGCAATCCTGTATGACACTAAATTCTTCAAATTTCCAAAACTGCATTTCATTCCTAATCTATGTACAGTTAATCTGTGCAAGTGGTATGGATTCTTATTAAAATGAAAACAGATTTCTATCAGGTAGGGTTTGGCTCATACCTTAGAATAAAATACACTGTAACGCTCTCTTCATCTCATACTACACTTGACAGTAAGCTCAGTGTTACTGAATATTTATTTACAAAAGTTAGGCCAAATAAATATTTTCATAGAAAATAGAGCAATAACATTTTATCACTATGGTGTGCAGACTTCTAGTTACCTTCTGACCTTCCTAACATCTCAATCTTAGCTCATATATTCCTATATTACTTAAGACACTAAAATACTATTTTAAAAATTTTAGTGAAACACAGAAAGCTCCAATAATCATCAAATAAAGTTCTAACTCCAAGTAAACCATAGTTTTAAAGCTCTCCTCTTGATAATTTTAAGAAAGGAAACGCCCAGAAGCTTGGTGTTAACGTTTCTGCTCATTGTGAAAATTGCAGCAATAAAAACTCCAACTGCTTGTCTTAAATTAAGACTTGTAGTACTCCATGTGAGATCTGTATACTTATACTAGTTTTTATAACATTTGGAAGTTTTGTTTTCTGCTTTGACGTTAGTCCATTAATAAAGCAGAGAGTCAAAAGCCTGGAAAAAATTACATCTAGTGGAAATCTTCAAGTCAAAACCTCAAGTAATTGGTTTGTTTTACCCCACATGATTCAATATTCTGATTTCCCCAACTACCTGCTCCCAGAGCTATCTGCATTTCTAAATTTGCTTTCTGTTGCCAACACATAGTAACCCAGTGACTGAAAATGGCAGCTGAAGTGCTTCTACAACACATTAATTTTTTTCTCTAAGTAGTCCAATTTTGTCATCTAAATGTTGAAAAATCTTTTCACTGCATTTTACATCTTTTAGAGACTTGCGGAATTCACGATCACCATCATATAAAATGAAGAGTAATGTTTTCAAGACAATTTTTAGATCATCACTAACAGCTCTAAAGGATAATGTGTTTTCTTTATAGCACTCTGCATTCAAAGCAGACTAGTTAACAGCAACTTAAGTGCAATAATAGCAATTACATCAATGTGGGCCTTTTTACCTTGAAAGTAGCTCTTAGACAACTGAAGAGATCAGATAAATAAACTATCATAAAATGATTTCAGGGTAATAAGATACAATTTGAATGCCACTAAAAAATCCTCATCTTAATCTGAAAAAAAGTATTATCCTATTACACTGAAGACTAAAAATGTTAGGTGATTAATGATTATTTTTCCCTCCAAAACTTTTTATTAATTTTCACTTTTAAAAGAAAAAAAAGGAGTTCTGAACATGTGTAAAAGAAAACCCTCTAATGAAGGGATATCAATTCACGTTCAAAATCAACCAACCATCAAAGGTAAAACTATAAAAAATATGCGCTTACAAATCTCCAAACCGTCCCTGAGATTCACTTTCATCTTAAAACTAGGTTTTAGGAAATCTAAAGCTAAATAAATAAAACCAATATTTCCCCAGAAGTTGAAGATAAAAGTTCTCCCTTGACCCATCTGCTTGCCATAAAATGACCCAAGTACTTGTTCTTATTTGTTTCTTCACTCATGCATATTGAGTTGTTAAAAGAAATTCAGAGAACGTATCTCTCTGCAAATGTAAAACAGCATTAGTATACTCTAGCTATATATATTAAGAAAAACCTCCTTTAAGCTGACCTCTAGAGTTTACTGTTAGGTAAAATACAAAAATTTTGAGACAAAACAATCAATATTCAAACAATTATCTCCATATGAAATTCATGAAAAATTTGAGTATCACTTAGAAATCTTTTTCAAACTTACACTGGCAACAGAAGTTGCGTTAACAAGTCCATGTTGAGTTTTTAATACTCAAAACTCTCCACTGACTTTTTTTTACCTATTAATTTAACAAGTATATTAAAAATAAAGTTTCCTAGGTATAAAAGTGTCCTCTTATTACAAGATTTCTATTGTTTTATACATTAATTAAAAGACTTTCTCAGCCATTTTACTAATATAACAAAGTGTAGGCCCTAGAAAAGTATTAAGTTAGAAGGAAAAGCTCTCTCACTCTCTCTTCCACTGAAGGGACCACAAGACAGGCAACAGTCACTATCATAAAATAAAAGGTCACTCTTTTTGTAGGAACAAACCATTTATCAATAGAAGATAATTGTCTTTCCATTTGGAAGGGCTCCACAGCAAGAGACAATGTTTTTCCCTCACATAATTACAAAACAGTAAAAGTTCAGAAACACAGCCTGAATCCACCTCCCTATTTTTACCCTTTACAATTCTCATTGCCCTTTGGGCCTCCACTTGGAAGCAAATGGAAGACAGGCTGAAGTTTTCTCAATTGAGCTGAAGCTAAGAAACCTTTGATATGCTAATGGTCCCCTTCAAATGGTAAGAATTCACACTTGCATTAATTCAAACAATTTGTGCAGAATGATGTGAAATGGCACCTCTTTTAGAGGCAAGTAACAAAAGGAGAGAATCGGAATGTCTTAAGGAACTAAACAACAGAACATTTGTTCTGCAGTATTCTATTATGCATAAATGTATTGGAGGGTGGAGGGAGGGACACCAAAAAGTTCCATAACACACCTGAAGAGAAGTAGGTTTTCTTAGATACTAAATTTAAGTTACAAAGTTACCTTTTACCTAGGTCAAGAGTCCCATCACAACTGGGAATGTTGCCAAAGACACCACACAAACTATTCTATTTTTCTGCTATAGAGGCAGATTGCCTCCTTAGTGCCTGTCTTTTAAGGTTTGCCCAAGATCAAACTTGATTTAGTAAGAGACATCCCAACAGGCAATCATTTACCAAACGGATGTGACTTTTCCTCATTGTGCAACTCGAGTTGAGCAAAGAGCAAACTCGGTGGGGCCCGTTCCAGACAAACACTGCCAGGGAAATGAATGGACCAACCAACGTCCGTTAAATGTACGCCTCTGGAAAAGAGAAGTACACATAGTGTAAAGAATGCAAAAGAAAATTTAAGAATTGGGGGCGGGGGCGAGGAGGAGAGTGCCTAAGAACCTGGCCTTTGTAACGGGAACCATATGGCTGGTGGCTGCGGCTCAGACGCTCCCAGGCTGCTTGGAGAAGCTGCTAAGCAGCCTGACACCTTTCAAGAAACAGGAGGAAAACATTTCCCGGGTCTGAATCTGAGACAACAGTTTGCATCAGGAAGAACGGAATGGGGGGGCCAGAGAAGGGGAAAAGGATGAGGGGGGAGGAGTCCACAGAAGGTGGGGAAAGAAGACGGACACCGCAGGACTTGCCCCTCCAACTACGCTTTCAGGGGACGGAGTGAGCAGAGGATACAAAAATAAATATGAATAGAGACATACGTTCCTTAGCCGCCGCTCATTGACACTTTGGCACAAAGTAAAGCTTCCAGCGATCTCCCCTAACCCAAACCCCGCAGTCTGGCGAAAGGAACAAACTTTCCAGATCCCAAGCGAAGGACTCTCGCAGGAGTGCCTCCCCAGCGCTGCGGCGCTTTCGTCGCTTCCCTCGCCCCCGCCTCTCCACCAGAGGGTCGTGTAGCCCCAGCCAAGCAACGAGCCCACGCTCGGTTAGCGCCGGTGGCGGGGGGGTGGCCTCCCCGGCCTCGCGCCACTCCCACGCCGTTTTCCCCCGTCGCACCCCACCCGGCACCCGGCTCCCACAGACCAGGCTTCCAGAGACTCGCAGCCCCAACGCCAAGCCCAGAAGCCCACACCCCATAACTTCGCCCGCAGGCCCAGCGCGGCCCGCTGCTGCCCTCTCACTGCAGGCGCGGGAGGCACTCGGCCTCCCCAGAGCCTGCCGGGTGCCCGGCCCCGCTGCGCCGCCCCTAATCGCAGCCAGCCACAGTGCTGGCCCGGCCACATCTGGCTGCGCTTTGCTGACATCCTCGCCTCTCCACGCCACCTAACCGACAAGAAGAAACCACCCGCAACAACTCATCCCATCCCCCCATCCCCCCTCCCCACCCCCCGTCCACTTGCCCAGAACTCTCTCACAGCGCTCGGCCTCCCGGCTCCACTCACAGCCCGGCACGGGTCTGCAGGCAGCTGAGGCGGGGGAACAGGGGCGCGCTCACCTCCCGGCCTCCGGCCCCACCGAGGGTGCGCCCCACCTTCCCCTCCCCAGACGGGCTGTGAAAAAGCGAACGGCACCTTCTGACCCAGGCTTTCAGTAAATCAAAACATGCCGAACCCAATCCTACCCTGCCCTCTCCTCCCGGAGCCCCCTGCAACTAGACTACAGCCAAGTGAGCGTCCCTACGCTTGCAGGGCGAAGCAGCAGCAGACTGGACGGGAAGGGGAGTTCTGCGGATCGATTTCCGAGGAGGGGGAGGAAGAGGAGGGGGCGAGTAACCCGAGTCGGCGCGGGTCTCCCCCTTGGCCCGGCCGAACATAAACAAACAGCCGAGCCCCAACTCACTCGCGGCTCCCTCCACCTCCAGCATCCACCCCAGGGCGGGAGGCGCAAAGCAAACAGGTCTCCGTAGCCCGGCACAGAGGCACATTGTTCGCTCCCACGGCTCTTACCTCGGTCTGCGAGCGCGCCCCCGGGGGCGGGCCGTCTGGCGCGGGGGCCGCGCGGAGAGAGGCGCAGAGGGCAGCGGCCACCCGGGCCGGCGAGGGTCCAGGCCGGCCGCGAGCGGATCGCCGGCCGCCGAGTCCGAGCGGGAAGCAGCGCCGTGGCTCAGCGCGTCCTCCTGCTTGGCCGCCGCCGCCGCCTCCTCCTCCAGCCAAGCAGCCAGCGCCGGGCGGCTCCTGGGGTTAGGTCAACATTTTCCTGCAGTTTCCCACACGCCGCTCCGCGAGAAGAGTCTTTTGCACACGCGCACGCGCCCCCAGACCGCACGCTCCCTCGGAAAGATAAGAAATTCGGGAAGCAGAGCGAAAGGGGTGGCAGAGGCAAAAAGGTCGACAGAGGTGCGCAGACTTGGGAGTCCCCTCCGAGCTGCAGACGCGGGAGGGGCGGGCAGACGCTGGCGGCGCGAGGCCAACTCAGTTCGTCAGGCGAAGCCCCTCAGCCCGCCGTCCGCGCCGGCCGGCTGGCATCCCTCGAGCCGACCCTGCGGCCTGGGGCGGGAGACTGCAGCGGCCCCTCCTCACATTTCGGGTCTCCGGGCCGAGGCTGAGCGGTGGCCGCTGCCCCAAGACTGGCTGAAGGCGAGGACTGGGGTTCGGGGAAGCGGGGAGGTGTAGGGACGAGACACGCGACGCACAGCAACGGAGGAGAGGTGCCCTCCCCCCCCGCAACGGTCCCAAGGATTCTCCGGTAAGCTCCCAATTTCGCTCCGGTACCTCTGCGTGTGTGAGTGTGTGAGCGGAGAGAGTGTGAGGGAGAGAGAGGGAGCGAGGGAGAGAGACGGGGGAGTGCGAAGTCCTGACACAGACTCTCCGCGAGGTCTGAACTGGAGTCACCTCCCAGCCTCCTTCTCTTCCTCCTCCTCCTCCTCCTCTTCCAACACCTCCTCCACCCCAGATCTCCACCTCCCCACCCCCGCGAGTTCGCCTAATCATATAAACATATTAACTTGTACAGCGGCAAAGACCAAACCTCTCCCTCCTGATTTTTCCAGCAAGGGGCTCAGGCAAACTCAAAAGAAGATTACAGGCAGCTAAGTACAAAACGTGGAGCAGATAATCTATAACTCAGTGCCGCCCAATGGCCATTTTCCACCCCATTTGAGCAGCTGCGTCGGTGGTGCACCCGAGCAAGGCGGAGGAGAGCGAAAGCGGACACTTACGGGTTCGAGCTGTTCGGGTGGCGGTGGCCCAGCAGCCGCCCGAGAACTGGCCGGCCCCGGCTCCGCCGGCGGGGCGGCCGCAGGGCTGTCCGGGCGGCGGCGGCGGCGGCGGCGAGGGACGCGCGCGCACGGCCGCTGAACGCGCCTCGGAGGCGGCCTGCGGTGGCTAGCGCCCCTCCTCTCCTCCCCATCGGGTCGCCCCCCCGGGTCTCGGGGCTCCGCATCCAGCCCCCAGCGTCAACACACCCATTCCATCCCGAGCCCCACCTCCCCAAACTCCACTCACTGCGCGCTCGGTCCTCCGCGCGCTCCGGCGGCGCGCGCTGTCCATCCTGTCCACACACACGCACTTTAAAAACATTTATTTTATTTCTGGAACGGAGTGAAAGGTATTTGGGAGAGCGCGGCGCTCCGGCCTCCGAGGCGGGGGGCAGGGGGCTGGCCCGGAACTCGGGGTCTCCTCCCCTCTCCCTTCCAGGCTCAGGAGCTCTCTCCTAGCCAGCACTTCGGAGAGGCGCCCAGGATGCGTCTTTTACCCACCCCGTCTCCAGGTTTTCCCTTTTCTCCGCGCGGCGAGCCGGAGGCCCCTAAACTTTTCGTTTCCGCGGCCCTCCTTTTGTGTGACTGCTCGGAGGAGAAAGAACGCCTGTTCGCCTCGGCTGCCTCCGTCCGGCTGGGGCGCGCGGGGGACGCTCCATGGTTAATGCGTCTTTGATACCTGAGATTTCCGGCGGGCTCGTTAATGAAAGTTACATTTTTTTTAAATTGCGATGACTTTTTCTTTGTAGTTACAGAGAGCTAGCCAAACTTTGACTTTATTGACTATATTTCACAAGAGCGTTTTGTTTGTTTTTGATTAAACCCACCAGGACAAGCAAAGGAAGGAAAGGAGACTACAAGGCTTTACTCGCAAGTGCATTCATCGTGCTGTTTAGGTCTGTTTCCCTCATTTCCTTACATTGAAACTGCTTTTGCTCTTGTCCTCTGACCACACTTCCTTGCGCCTCTCAGTTGGCAGTGTTAGCAAGCAGCCAGACAGCGCCTACGATGGACCTAAACTAAAGAGAATAGACCACGTCGGAGAAAATCGTGCTTGAAAAATGTTCGAAAGCTAGTTGTGTCCTTTGCATACGAGTAAAATCAAACCTGGATTTTTTTTTTAATTACAAAATTTCTGAGCTAAAATGTATGTCTAAATCACTGTTTATACTAATGAATGAAGGCATCAATTAAAGAAGCTTGTTTGCATTGATTTTCAAGAAAAACATTCTCCAAGACTTAAAATCTCTAGAAAATAGGATGAAACTTGAGCTTCTTCGCTTTCAGAAACAATATGTACTTTTTGTTGCTGTGGGTATGTTGCAGTCATCATACGTCAGAAATCATTTCAAACAACAGTGTTATTAAAATGTCAACAGCAGATTGTTCAAAAGACATGAAGACTCTAAATACCTATATTTTGTCTGAAAGCCAGATATTTGTAGTACTAAGGTAAATCCAGCTATTAGTCAAGTTTTCTCTCAACTTGTAAAAAATCAAGTTAAAAGTACATATGTGCAAATAACTGAAACATGCTCTTTTGGTTGATTCATTATAATTCTCAGGTTCAAAGAAGAATCCTTGATGATCAAATTTTTTTCTACTTAATGTATTGATGTTTTAACATTCTCACCAATACAAAAGATAAGAGGAGCCACATAGAGCATTGGTGCTTTAAACTACATGAACACTTCCATTTGGAATTTCTTAGATAACATAATTCAAATATTATCGGTGCAGGATATAAACTAGTCTAGAAAAAAAAAACACTTATGCAGAGCTAGTGTGAAACCTTATTTCGTTTTTACATCTGTCAAAATTTATAGATACGACAGATCTACCTAGGAAAACTAAATCAGGCTTCTTTAAAGTAGTTGAAAAGAAGGAAGACTTATAGAATTCTCAGACCTCAGTGGTCATTTATATCACAGTCTCCCTTGGAATTTAAAATTATTTTATTCAGTATTGTAAGCCAAGATATGTCAAACTGATAATAATTTGCATTTACCGAAAAATTTTAGCCCTTTCTTTTGTTCATCTTTGAAGATTTTTCATTCATCTAGGCATGATTCTCATGAAGTCCCAATGAGTGCATGGATCAGTTTAATGATATTTTCTTTGGGGAGGCAGAACTTGGGCTCAGGTTTTTATTTAGTAAGTTTAGTAAGTAATCAATAGAAAATTTTGCCTGAATTAAGCTGCCCATATGTTGGCTCATTTACTTGTTTATTTAACTCTCTCAGAAAGAATCTCAGGAAGAACCCACTGTCTTCATTTCTTAGGTCTGATGCATTTTGACGCTCAGGACATAAGTGAGTCACTGTCCACTATGTTCCTGAAGAGACTACAAAAAAAGGAGGATGCATGGGAGGGGAAAGAAATTGTCAGAAGTGGGTTAAATCTATAGGGAGTGGGAAATGCCTCAAACAAGTTTTTAATTTTAACTCAATAGTATATGTATTTTATAGAGTTCAAAGAGTTCAACACTTTTTTCGTAAGCATATAATAAGCTTGCTGTTTTTATAATTATATCTAAATGTATCCCTTCTCTAGGATAATGTTTTAAATATTAAAGAATTTTTAATTCTTTCCTTGCACTTTACACATAATAATGCTTCAACCTTCTTTTCATCCACAAAGAATTGAAACAGAACTTTTAATTACATTGATACATTCAAGATTAAGCTGTTAGCCACAAACCTGCCATTACAAAAGAACACTTAAATGACACACACACACATCCAGAAAACATAATTTGTCTGACACTTCATGACAATTCAAAACATAATTTATAACAATACAGGTGTTATGGTAGAAAAAAATGAAATGAGAAACTTAATAATGTCCACAGATGTTAGCAAGCTAAGGGGAGTTGGAATATGTTATGCATTCCCTGCAATCCAATCAATTTAACTACACAATCTGTACTATTATTTAAGTAATGGCAAAATCATTGACTTATTCATAATACTTGCTAATTGTTTTTAAAAATAAATTCTACAAAGGACAAAGGAAACACCCATTTCCATTTGTTTTATGTTAAATCAACATCTAACCACGCATGGTGATTTCATTCAAAGAAAACAGAAGGAACTCATTAGCTTATGTGGTTTGAGAGATTGATGGGCTTCAAACATTTTAACCATACATGTTTTTTCCAACTGTAGAAACTCATGTTTTTAATTTAAACATCTTTATGAAACTAAAGATTATTTTATTCAATGGATTCACATATTTCTGATACAGAAATTGTGCTAATTTTTAAAGCTATTTACCATCCAGGCATCTTCATTTAGAGGAAAGTGATGAGGTACTTGTCAAAATACAAATATGAATGCTAATGGTATGGGTACCAATTTAGCGAATCTGAAAAAGTATGAAAATGGGCGTGGTTGCAAAGTATCGCGGTTAGTATAAGCCAGTAGAACACAGTAACCTCTTCAATGCCCCACCCTGGCAAACTTGGATATAGGTAAGCCAGTTCTAAAAGGGGCCACATGGAGGTGGACTTGGGTGGGGCAGAGAGAGGATCCAGGACTTGATGCTGGCTCAGAAATTGTGTGAAGTTTGAGCTACAAGCTGTAGAGAACTACCAGTGAGAATAGATTGTATTCATTATTTTTGCCTTTGATGAGAGAGCTCTGTGAAAGTTCTAAAACAAAACAAATAAAAACATGTGAAACTGCTCTAGTTTCTAATACAGAAATAGAAATAAAATTAGCTAGATTTCATCCTAAACTTTGTGTTCCCTTTTCTTCGTTACTGTTCAATGTTGCTTAGTGCTGAAACGTTTTCCCTACTCTAGAAAATAAATCTTTTAAAGCTCTAGAGCAGATCAAAGCAATTATGTGAATACCCAGACTTAACTAGAACTCGTTGAAAGTTCCTAGCATTGTTTTTCGTTTCAGTTTTGCCATGCATGTAGGCTGAAAAGAAATCAGAACTCATTTTCCATGCGAGAATAAACATATGAAAGCATTTGGGAAAGCCAATAAGCTTTTTCTTTTTCTTTTTTTTTTTTTTTTTTTTTTTGCCAATAAGCTTTTAATTCTTCTCCCAGTTCTCTCCAGGCTGAGTAAATCTTGGTCCAAGAAGGCCAAACCCTATCTAAAATGTAGAGATGCAGTCTCCAAAAATAATGATAGTTTAAACTGTGTTATAAATATGATTATGGTGTGCTGTACTTAATGATATTATTTAGAAGTACCTGATCACATATATTATTAAATAACTATCAGTTTGTAATTAATACTTCTTAAAAATATCCACCAAAACAACTGGTAGCTTGACTCTTTCTGTGTGGTTAGAGTATTTATATATGTCTAACTGTGTATAAAGGATTATACAATTTTTATACCATTATGATACTCAAAAGTAAGCGAGTTAAAAAAGTTGCCCCTCGGGTTTCCGTGGTGGCGCAGTGGTTGAGAGTCCGCCTGCCGATGCAGGGGACACGTGTTCGTGTCCCCGTCCCGGAAGATGCTGCAGAGCGGCTGGGCCCGTGAGCCATGGCAGCTGAGCCTGCGCGTCCGGAGCCTGTGCTCCGCAACGGGAGAGGCCACACAGTGAGAGGCCTGTGTACCGCAAAAAAAAAAAAAAGTTGCTCCTCATAATATTGCTTCACTGAGTCTTACCCAACTCAAAGTCAGTCTTTATTGCTTTCGCATAGATTATTCTCATAATTGTTGGTAATATCTGCACCTTGAGGATTTTCTGTAATCGTGTCTTATAGGTCTTCTAGCAATGTTTCTGTCAAACCAGGAAGTGTAACTATAAGAACACTCATAGGAAGCTGTCTATGACTTCTTATAATTATTTTTTCATCATAAATTCTCATAACCAAATGTTTTCTTACTAAAGTATGTAGTTTAAAATTGAGCCTCCTCGTCCCTTTTCTATACATGCAAACCTCTGTCAACAATACAGGTGAGGGGCTTCCCTGGTGGCGCAGTGGTTGAGAATCTGCCTGCTAATGCAGGGCACACGTGTTCGAGCCCTGGTCCCGGAAGATCCCACATGCCGCGGAGCAACTAGGCCCGTGAGCCACAACTACTGAGCCTGCGTGTCTGGAGCCTGTGCTCCACAACAAGAGAGGTCGCAACAGTGAGAGGCCCGCGCACCGCGATGAAGAGTGGTCCCCGCTTGCCACAACTAGAGATAGCCTGCGCACAGAAACGAAGACCCAACACAGCAAAAATAAATTAATTAATAAACTCCTACCCCCAACATCTTCTTAAAAAAAAAAAAAAAAAAACAGATGAAATTTCTTTAATTTTTTTTAATTGTTAAAATAAAAGTAACCTAAAAGCACAAGTCTTTGTGAAATAGCAATTTCACGCAAGTTTAAATTGAATTTTTAGTGCCTCTGAGAATATGACTTTGATTATTCATGTCATAGTTCACTGTATATGGCAAAACTTGCAAAAGGCTTTTAAGAGTCAGGAAACAAATTCACAAATGCCCTCTTCGCATTTTAGAAAGTGAGTCAAAGATATATAACACTTCTAATATATCATATTAGAATACATTGAAGTTATCCTAATGATACAGCATAAAATGATAACTGAAATATGTGATCTTAGTATTTTTAAACAAAATTGCTTTGGTACAGTTTTGAAAATATTTGTTAATCTAAAATTGTGTAACATGAGATGTTTGACCTTGACTTTTTGATCGTATAAGCTGTTACTAACATTATTCATTATTTTGTCCTCTAATTAATATGATGGTTATTTTTTAACTACACTTATCTTTTTTACTGTATTTTTAAAAGGCCTTTATTGGTTGTATATATTTTAATAAAAATAAATTTGAGCATGTGGAAACTAGAACAGCAATTTGCAGAGATTTTTCTTCTCAACCAAGTTCTCATCATAGTTTCTTGATAATAGAATGTTGCCATCTCTATTTTCAAGAATAATTTAAATCTTTAAGTTTTCAACTTATTGCAACTCTTTACAATGCATTCTTAAAGTCACTATGAAATCCATCACTTAGGTCCTAGGCCAAACAATGATGTAATAGGCATACGTTTTTGTGGTAAGTAAAAGTGCATTAGAAAAGAATCTTTTCTTTTTCTTTTAATTAGCATCCAAATTTAGAATCATACTAAAATGTCATCGATATCTCAAAGAGATACTGAAATGATTTGGTAATGATAAGGTTTTGTTGAGTGATATTCAATGAAGAAATTCTGATTTAGGTTAAACAATAAAAACACATAATCTCTCCAGCTATTCTACATTAAAAAGAAGTTGCCAAACTATCACCTGGATAATACATTCTTTGAATTATTTTGATTCAATGATGGAGATGTGCTGCACTACACCATCCACACTCTTATCCAACTATCCTGGTTACCAAAATCACATATCTACAATATAACTAAAGAGGAT